GACAGACTGAAGATCAATACTTTGGAGAGCTTTCATAGATGATAAAAACGAGGTTGAAGTTTCATATAAACTTTCTGATTCTTGAAATTCAATCTGTTTATTAGTGGTCAGAAGATGGTGGAATTATTTTTAAAAATTAAAAGCCAAAATTTTGAAAAACCAGAATGATCACTATAAAATTGTCATTAAGAAGATAATTCTCTAAATAAAAAAATTAGAAGTTTCTTGTTACTTACGATATGGATATGAATAATAAATATATAAATTAATAAAGCAAATTGATTTAATTAATTAAATTTTAAAAACTTTCTGACTTAGAAAGTTTCTAAGTTAAATTAAAAAAGTAATGTAAATGTTAGTATATAATTATAATATTATAATTATAATATAATATACTAATAAAATAAATAACTAATAACTATTAATTAAATTTAATTAAAATTTTTTAATTATGAGGCAAGTAACCCAATGAATACTAACATCAGATCCTTCATCATCACTCTCCGAAAGCTGGCAATCGAAAGTTTCGTTGGAAATCGGTTCATCGGCTTCAACCGGCACATTTAAAGTTGAAGAGGCAGTAAAATCTGATAAAACATCATTACCTCCCAATGTGAGTAACTCCTTTAGTTTGTTACTTGAAGTCGAAGACATCTTTGCTTCTAATTTAGATTTGACTTTTTTGTTAACTTTTTTACTACACTGGCTGCTATCCATTTAAAATTTTATAAAATACCGTCAATTTACGCTTATTAGACAAAGCTGATAGATTTTAATTTTCTACTTCCAGACAGCTACTTTTTGCCATTAAGAACGAAAACGTCACAAGTTTGGTTTACAGCGACATCTTTAATTAAGTTTAGAGCAAAAAGTATTTGAAATAAATTAATAAATTATTTTTTAAATCATTTCATTAAAGAGAAAGTTGATATCTTCATTATTTTTATCTTAATTTCAAAAATTATTCAAATTTTAATTGAAAAAATAGATGAAAATACCACCAAATTCTCAATACCAGGAAAATTATATAGGAATTGAAATCAAGTCGATCAATAAATCAATAGAGTTATGGGTATATATACATGGATATATCGCAATTTCCACGATGTTCAACAGCACTCCTCAATGATTTATGCAAACAGATAAGTCTTGAGATCCGCTCTGAACTTTGTAAGTAATGGAGTAGTCAGAGAAGAAAGTAGAGAGTTCCAGAGAAAAGGGCCAGAAAAAGCAAATTCAGATTTAGCAAAAAAGTGTTTAACACGAGTTAAGAAGTGAGAACAAAAAGACGATTGCAAACCGGGGCGTTTAGGTTCAATTAATATATCTGATAAGTACTTAAAAAATAATTTAGATTGAGACTTATACATAAATGTGCAAATTTTGAAAATTATTCTATATTTTATATGTAGCCAGTGCAAAAGAACAAGATATGGAGATATATGGGAAAAGAACTCAAGAACTATATAGTACTCAAATATTCAATCAAGCTAAAATGTTGACATATGTATTTGTTTATTTGTTTATTTGATTTGAAGGATGACCAAAAAAGATAAACTTGTGGATAGGCCACCCTTAACTAAAATTTCTAACTATAGATGTAACGGAAATGTCATGAAATACATACACATAAACTCACGCTCACACATACTTACAAACACGCACCATACTACAATTCATATCACAATACTGTTATACAGAACTGAAGAAACAGAATCGATGAAATGAAATGATCTGGAAACCAAACATACGCTCACTTACACACTCAAATAAATAGACACATAAATAAATATGGCCACACACCATACACATATAGGGCGTGGCCACATGTCTCAGGGAACAGCCTAGTGAATGGACATCTTACACATAGATATGTGCCCCTCCACATACACCCCCGCTGTACCCTGGTTAACGCTCCTAGAATACAATATTTATATACATATATACACATATCTACACATACACATGCACACACTCACACACATAGACACACTCACACACACATAAACACGCACACTCACCCAAACAAACTCACGCACACTTATATTATATATATATATATATATATAAATTATAAATATATATCATTTTTTGCACGATTATATCATTCCTTAATATTTTTAGCCTTCGTGAGTCAACCAAATATTAATATTACATGTTTTACGAGAAATAATTCAACTTATTCAAGAAATTTTACAACATTTTCAAAATATTTAAAAAAATTTATATTTAAACATGTTTTATTTGTCTTATTAAAAATATAACAAATTGTGTTGGGAATATATCCATTTTCCCCATTCAAACCGTTCTTTACGCAACGCTCTATCTTTCAAACTCTCGTGTGTTGGTAACAGTTTCTACAGTAATCAGGTGTGGTTTCCTGGCTACATTCCCAAAACACTGGTCATAAGCTACGACTCGTTTGCACAGTTTCATGTTTTGACTGCATTTTCCCATTTGGAGAAGAATTCTTCGATCGAATTTTGGTGCCAGAAAAATAGCATGTGTCCGCTTGTTCAATTTCAGCTCTTGTTGCACGAGTTTTATGAAAAAAAAAACAATTGTCCATAATCAACACCGCTTTTTTTTAAATCAGCCGATGCCAATTTTTCTAAAAATGGAATTAGAAACATAAACTTGAAAAAGGAATTTTTAACCGCGTGTGTATCATTAAATAAAGAACTATTCGAACGATTCGAAATATATAGGCTTTTTTTATTTAATTTGGATAATTTTCCCATCGTATATGAACTTTTGAAATTGTTTAAAGAGTTGCAAGAAAAATTATCCGTGTGTTCAAGTCTGATATTGATGGTGCTTTGCTATGTTACGAATTAATAAGTGTTCAGTTTTTTTTATTAAAGATAAATAGGTGAAGTAGAAGTTGAAAAAGTAGAAAAAATGACATCCTTCATTGTATTAAATTTTATTAAAAAACATTCTTTACAAGAGTTCTATCCAAATACATGAATTGTTTTGCGCATTCTTCTTACAATATAATATCTGTAACTTTTGTAAATGGAAAAAGTAGCTTTTCTAAATTGAATCTAATTAAAAGAAATTTGAGAAACATTATGTTGCAAGGTCGACTTAACACTTCGGTCAAGTTATCAATCGAGCAAGAAAAGCAGAAAATTTAGATTTTTCAAGCCTGATAAATGATTTTGCTGACAAAATATCTAAAACAATTACATTATAATAAAATTAATCAACGTTTTTCTGATTTAAAAACAAGAATTTGTTATCTGTGTAATAAAAACATCTGTTATAAAAATCATCTAGTATTGTTGCAATGTTCGTTTATGTACTTGTTTTCGATAAAATATATTGTTAAAAAATTCAATTTTACACTTTGAATGAAAGTTAATTTAAAAAATCTTTTTAGCATATATCTAAAATGTAGCAAATTGGCCTCGCATGTACTTGTTCATTAATGTTAAGCTACCAGCCTTCATACATAATGGCGCGTCTAAAAGCTTTGCCCGACCTTTCAAAAAAAAGTTAAGGCCTGCACCGTGTATATATGCTTGCATGTATGTATGAATGGAAGCAATGGCAGATCTGGGAAGAAAAGGGAGTCACTGACTCCCCCGTTATGACCAGTTTTTTAATAAAAGTCATAAAAAAGGACCGTTTTATGTGTAAAATCGACCAAAAATTGAACGTGATAAGCAAGAAAAGGTCGTCAGCCACACTACCACAATACTGGGTCCCTCCGTTAAAATTTAGACACTTTCAAATATTTGGCCCCCTGTCAAAGTTGTCTAGATTTGCCCCTGAATGTATATATATATATATATATATATATATATATATATATATATATATATACACATACACACACACCTTTTTTCACATTTAATATATAATTATTGTAAAACTGACGTCGCGTAAATTCCTTTCCTCATTGTGTTGCTATTGAATGAATCTCAAAACAAAAAGCTCGGTCTGATAAGGAAAACCTGTTCATGCTTTTTACTCTATTAATTAAATCAATTCTAACTAATTTATGGATAACT